ACAGAGCACATACTGTATCACTGAAGTCTAAAGTTTCATTACCAGCTTCACTCACAGTGGATTTGAGGCCCTGGATAATTCTTTAATGGGATTTAAATACAACTACTCGAATTAGGATGTATTTTTATTTGAAAACAGTGATTAAATAACTTTGGTTTCACAAGCTTTGAAAAGAGTATATAGAACTGTTTGTGGGGAATACATATTTACATGAATGTCAATGGAGGTCACAGGGCTGAGATAATTATTTACTTCTCAAAGCCACCAAGAATCAAACACATTCACTTGGAAACCCGGGGGGTGAGGGGGTCTATCTGTCACCTTTGCATGAAGGCCAAGACCCCTTTATTTACCTGTAACTTAAAGATAGCAGCATAGGGTTCTCAGCCTTGAGCTTCAACAAATTGAGTTAGGTTTGACAAAATACCTCCAACATTTCTTCTCTTTCAAGTAGCAGTAACAGGCTGCCCACCACTGCATCCAGCCCACAGCTGCACCAGGCAATATTTTGCAGTGTCAGCTCCCAAACAGGAGCGCAGAACAGTTGCTGACATTAAATTGGAAAAGCAACCATTTTCTTCCCCATCTATACCCATTCTCTCACCTCTCTGCCCTTTCCAAAAAAGATCCAAAAGCCTCTACCACACCCCCCCACCCAACCAAAACCCACAAGCAAACAAATAAACTGGCATAATCTCTTTCCTAATTTAGAGACACCACTACCATGGCATTTTCATTCCTGGGGTATAAGCAACGGGAGAGATGTCTCGCAGCCTGGCATTAGGGAATGCCCATACTATATAGATACCAGACAAGACGGGAAGAAGCCAAGGCTGAGTGTTCAGCTAATGCTGGAATAAGATAACCCCCAAATGACACCAGGCATCTGGAAATTGTCTGCGGTATGCATGAACGAATTGTTTTCAGAATTAGACAAAAATCAAGTAAGAAAAAAAAAATCTGAAATTAAAAAAAGAAAGCTCTAGAGACAATTAGAATAGAGGCAATAGATTTTGCATTACTGACAGAATAAAGTCAGTTCATCCCTACAGACCAACTCCAAATCATGTTTTGTAACCATCTATTGAAAATGCCATCTGGCTCCACTGTGGGCCCCAAACCAAAACATCTCACGTCTTTGGGGTGCACTAAACTGGATCCTGAAATTCAGTTTTTCTTCACACTGAAGATCTTTTCATAGGCTAGCTTGAAGGCTTAATTTCAGAAAGTTTCTCACAGAAATAGGAAGGCAAAAGGTCACCTATACAAGGGACTTGAAGCATTTCTCCACGAACGTAATAGTTTGGGCAATTTTTGAGAGCGGATCAGATACTAGTTATCACAGGGAATTCAGCCTGAGGAAATAACAACTGCAAATCATGGTGACTGATGTCATTTGAAAGCAAAGCCTCCTTTGATTCAGAGAAGAGCATTTTTCCTGAGGGAATAAGGGGAAGAGGACAAACGTGAACCAGAAAAACCCTACAGCAACCACCAAAATGACACGCCAAAGTACCAGGAGACTCTGTGCGCAGGGGTCAAACGGGGACACCCCCCCACACACATTTCGGTGCTTGAGATGTCAATTCCAAATCCCCAAGCCAAGCCTGCAGCAATACCCGGTACCCCCGAGACACAGCAATGACCCCCTGACTGGGAAACAGCAAGAGCAAGAGCTGGGTCTAAAAATGCCCAGGCAAACTCGGCATTTCCAAAGGCTCCAAGAAGGGAGACGACATGGGACTAAGAGTTCAGTTCAAATAATGGCATCAGCTCAAAAGCCACTCCATGATTTTTAAAATAAACAAACAAACAAAGCCGAACAGTTCTTACGAGCCGATGAAGGCTGAGTTGAAGTAGCTACGTCCAAGTGGCAGCGTGCTGAGCGCGCCCAGGCGCGGCGAGGGGCACGCGTTGCCCGACGGGGTTACAGCGGGAGGCGGCTCCCGATGCCTACAGAGGCCTTCGCCGCCCAGCAGCGGCGCGATGCCTACGCCTGCGCTTTCTCCTGCTTCTGCTGAGCTAGAGCCAAAGGTGTGGAAGACCTACTGCTCCATTTCAGTGTCAAAAACATGACGCTGAAGAATTAAGGATTCGGTAGACGGTACTTTAAAAGCACTTTTTAAAGACAGTATTTAAAAAAAAAAAAATGAAACCCATAAAGAGCTTTTGTGAACAACAGGAGAAGGGAAAAACAAAGGAGTGTTTTAATGAACATGTTCTCACATTGAACACTTCTCTAAAATGCCCAAATTTTGAAATGAGAATCATTGCTCTGGCTGGATTTATTGCACCAGAAGAGTGGTCAAAGCTCAGTCACCCTACACGTAGCGGAAGCCTCCACAACAGTGCATAGAACTGTGAATATTCAATATTGTCTAAACCAGACACTCTTTGTCCCCAAATGCTAAGTTCAAATGCATATTTGAGTGAGAGTAAAATGTGTGGTAACGCTAAAATAATGAAACTATAGTCTCGAGTGAAGGTCTTTTCAGAAGTTTGTTATTCTCCTTATTTGTTTTTTCCCTTCTGACACATTTTAAATTGACTCACCAGGAAACTGAGCACTGAAGTCAACTCCCTCCAACCCCACCAAAAGACAAGATCAAAAAAACACCCGAGTGCTTTGAAATCAGGTATTTTCTGCTCTCAAACAAAAAGGGTTTTTACAACAAATCCTTCTGAAGCTAGAGCAGATTTCACAAAGCTTTAGATTTCTCTGTGTGGGCTTCTGAACTGTCATTGCTGGTTATTATTAGTAGGCACAGAAATTCCCATTTTAATTAGAAACTTTATTTTGAAATACATTACACAGTTTACATGTGAAGTGCTTTCACTGTAAGATATTTCATAACATTGTGCTGAGCAAAATGGCTGACCAATTTCCTTGAAGCTCTTCCACTTATGTTTTGTTTTTATTAAAACTGTCTTACAGAACTAAGATGCAACTTAGGCATTTGTATTCAGAAGCTAATTACTATGTTTACCTTAGGGAGAAAGAATATTCTTAACTGTTCCAATTAACTATGTGTTTCAATAACGACGTTAAGCATTTGGCATAAGACCGAAAGAAACCTGAGTCCTAATTAAACTTGTATTTATCAAAGATTTAAAAACAAAACAAAAAAGAAATTAATCTTCATGATCAAACTACTTTTTTTTAATAAGGCACAGTCAGACAAGTATTTATAAAGACTGGCTACCAGTTCAGTTTTACCTGCACAGCCTTCCTGCTGGTCTGTCAAAAGTAATCTGAAAGTTGTTTTCCCTGTCTGCTGCTGAGGCTTTTCAAGAACAAGGCAGAGCAATAAGGCAACTAAAAGAACGGACATGCAAAAGAGTTTGGCATTTGGGATGGATTCTGAACATCTGCAAAGTAGTTCATTTTGTAAATGGAGCATTCACCTGTTGTTATTAAAATGGTGGCCAACTGTGATAAGGAAAATAGAAGTGGTGTGAGCAGTGCCTGTTTGCAAAAGGGTACTTTAACAGAAAAAATCAAGAGGTCTGGTACGCTTTCAGGTAAAGACTTTGTATGCAGCAATGCCCACAGCTTTCAAAGATAATCTAAATTGAATTCTGAAATTCTCCTCTGCCACTCAGAAAAGCTGAATGTACCAGGAGGTTGCTTGACAGCAGGTGAAATATCAGGGAGTGAAATCTCCATTTAGATAATGAGCCAGTACTGCCATCCTACTTTGCATTTCTTATTAGAACAAAAGGAAGTCTTCAGGAATGATAACAACTCAAATAATTACACCATTATTTTGGCTGGAAGAAAGTTCAAGAACTCCTAAGATGTGATGATGTCTAAAGAACATGAAACAATTCTACCCACAGTCAAAGAATAAAGAATAAAAAATAAAAATAAATTAAAAAAAAAAAAAAAGAGAAGCCTTACCTTCCCCTCCCAATTAAATCTTTTGAGGAATAATTGCTTGAGCTTAGCACTGTATGGCTTCTGTGGCCTATGAATACTTGATAGATACTCTAAGAATTATCATTTTCAAGCTACTGCTTTCTTTTCAATTTTAAGTCATTTCAAATAAAAATACTGCATCCATTTCACTTTAGTAATCAAACTGAGCATAAAAATCATTAAAATCGTATTTCTGATACAAATTTGTATCACATACTAAAAGATACTATTTTATAGATAAATGTAAACCAAAAAGAATTAGAATATACAAAAGGTTTTTAAAATTCTTTTGCACACCTGAACTCATAGTGCAGGTTTAAGATTAAAAAAATCTGTAAATGAAGTAGTCATAACAAATGTTGAATATAAAATACATTCAAAAGTATTTTACAGAATGGCTGAATTATCAAGCGTAAGAACTGAGGACAAAGGATGTTAATGACAAGCAGCCACATACAGAACACAAAGCAATAAGTTTAAATCAGACTATTTTGGTTTGTGTAGCCCTTTATTAGCAACTAAAATAGAAGATATCTGTTGTACATCACGGGTAGGTAACTGACTATACTGGAGTTTTATTATATTCTAATACAGGATCATTTATAAATGCGTTGTTTTCCTTTTTTTCTTCTTTTATTAAAAAGCTTTCACCCCTTTTTCTGTTTACAACTTGCAAAACTATTCTGAAAGCTGAGTACATGTGCACAGGTCTGCAAAGAGTGCAAATTTAGGATATGGTAAATGCTTCACATGTTGTATTTGTAAGGACTGTTTGCCACCATGCCTTCATAGCCATTATCTTTTCCAAAAAAATAAAAATAATTAAAAAAAAAAGTCACAAAGTTTCAATACCAGCCTTCCTTCCATTGTCCTAAACAAGAAAGCATTTTTAAATGAGTTGAAACTAAGGAAGGACTACACCTACTACAAAAGAAGAGAGTTCTATTAGTTTGAGGTTTCAGTATACCCAAAGACCAGGGACTGTATCTTTGTAAGGGCTAGGCTGGGACCCCGTATACAGAGTGTGTGCAGGTGCCAT